GCATTCATGGTGTTAAAACTTGAACTTTCAAATTCGATCTCCAAAGTATCCTGTTCTTGCGTCAACATTGTGGATATATGAATTTAAGGAGAAAGATTGAGGCTCAGGGTTTGTTTGGAAAATGGATCTTGGTGATGATTTTCAAAGTTTTTGCTTACAGATTACATTGCCTTATGATGCACAACAACTATCCAAGGCAACAAGGGATACCGCGGCTCTTTATTTGGCATGTGGAGTGGACACCTCCAAGGTGTAGTGCAAATATTGGTCCTTTGCATTGTTGTTTAGAAGATTGTACTTTTGCTGAATATCTTATTTATGATTTTGCATGTGTAGGCATCTGTCTTTGTGCAGTCTCATGTTCGTGCCCATGCAGAGTTGATGTGGCTTTTAAGCTCTGTCACACCTGTTGGTTGGCTTAATAGAATGATTCAGTTTAAAGAGAAATCGCGCAAGGCGGTGCGTTTTTAGCTGTATGACAGCTCTATTATTGTTCTGTATCTAATCTAAAATGTTCTCAATGAGGACATGTTATACTTAAAAGAAAAACTTACACTAGTCCATTTGATTCTGGTCAATGTGTTAAGAGTCCTTTATTGGTTCACCCTCTCCCGAGGAGAAAGAATTGATTAACTTCTATTGATTATTGAATATTAAAATGAAATTTTCACTAAGCTAGCATTGATTATTTACGTTTCAGAAGCTACTGACTACACAACTTTGAACATCACCGGAAAACTTTCTAGTTTGACTTACGCCATGCTATGCGTATTGTAGTTTTCTACTATGCTGTGTAGATTATCATTTGTCACTGCTAATGTACATTTCCTAATGACATTCATATTTCAAATTAATTGTTGTATTTCTTCATAGAAATAGCTTTATATTGCCCATATTATTTGTTTGACAGTTTTTTACATCTTATTGTCTACGATTGAAGTTAATTGCCTTACTTTGGTTTTGCTATTGTAGGGGGATGAAAATGTTGGTGTTGGTCTGTTGACTTACCCTGTTTTGATGGCTTCTGATATTCTTTTATATCAGGTAATCCTCAAACTTTGCAGCTTTATTCAACAGGATGTGAGATTTTATATCAGGTAAATATGGAGTGCAGAGTGAGATTTTGGGATCATTTCCTGTTGGATGGAAGGCTTGAGTTGCAAGGAGGTGTGATAATCAAGTAGTATTAAAGCAATGGTTTTTTGTGTGCTTGTTTAAGTATGCATTGATAGCCTTGATATGTTAATCATTACTCTATGTTATTCTTATGTTTACCTGGATGCTTCTGTAGTCTGACTTTGTCCCAGTTGGTGAAGATCAAAAGCAGCATTTGGAGTTGACACGTGAGCTAGCGGAGCGTGTTAATCACTTATTTGGCGGAAGGAAATGGAAAAAATTGGGAGGGTGAGAAGCTATGTTACAACTTGAACATAAAAATATTTGTTTAACTGTTCACTCTTATCATTTTCTGGCCTCACTTTCTCTGGGTGAGAAGCTATATTACAACTTGAACATAAAAATATTTGTTTAACTGTTACTCTTATCATTTTCTGGCCTCACTTTCTCTGTATAGAGCTTCCTTTTCTTTTTCTTTTTAAATAGAAATCCTCTGCATAGAACTTGACCTTTATATTTTATATGTTTTTGCAGGCGAGGTGGTTCAGTTTTTAAGGTGTATTTTCTTTTTTGGTTGATAACCCTTAATGTGGGCTCATCAATAACATAAGTAATGGAAATGTCTTTTCTTCTTTAGGTTCCTGAGCCTCTTATACCACCAGTTGGAGCACGAGTGATGTCCCTTACTGATGGTCTTTCCAAGGTTATTTATATTTTTTGTTCTCCTATAATTACACACTGCGAATAATGTATATCTCTTTTTCTGTTTAAATTATTATTCTCTACAGTGCTGACATCCTTCATTTTTATTTTATGGGCTTGTTATTACCTGAATTGGTATTACTTTTGAAATGTCTCCTAGAGTCTGTCCGTATCAGATGACCAAAATAATTATGTACTCAATCAAGTTTCTATAGCACTCCAAGCACTTGAGGATATGAATACTTTCTTCCTCTTACAAATTTTGTTGTCTAATATTGTTACAATTATCATCACAGCATCTCAAAGTAGTGAGTATGAAATAAGATCCTTGGAAAACTTATTTACACAATCTAGGGTATACGTAACAATGATCAAAATTCCAGTTATTCCATAAATTTGAATTTTATGGCTAGTTCCCACCGATTTGTAGGCGTGCACCAAATGTATTTAATGTTTTTAAGGAAGTAATATCATCAATAACACAAAGAACAGACTTTTCTCATGCTTATTGACATTATTTTGGTTTCAATATTATAGATGTCCAAGTCTGCGCCTTCTGATCAGTCCCGGATCAATCTTCTTGACCCTAAAGATGTGAGAAACAGAAATTTTATCCACTTCTTGATTTTGATATGATATGCGGCAAGTATGCTTGACCTGTTTTATTTTTAGTTGTTATTACTTTTCACATAACCAAAGTTAAGCATATTATGGGTGTTGAGTTGACTATCGCAAACTCGTCTAGCTTGCCTCAAGTCTATGCATTTCTTATGAAGAATCTATGTGACCTACCTATTTTGTTTTTTCATTTTCCTTTTGCCAGTTTCATTTTGTTCCCCTCATCAACTTAATCTAAATGGCTTAATTGTTCTATAGGTAATAGCAAACAAAATAAAGAGGTGCAAAACTGACTCATTTCCAGGGTGAATACCTATCTTCCATTTTTAATCACTTAAAGCTTCCTCTCTTTTGATGTTCTGCTTTTTTAATTTTCTTCTGTCCATATTTAGTGTCGGAGTCATAATCCTATTTCTGGTCATAATACTAAAACTCTTCTGTGTTGTTGTTTGATAATCCTATTTCTTACAGCATGGAATTTGATAATCCTGAAAGGCCTGAGTGCAACAATCTTCTCTCAATATATCAGCTGATTTCGGGAAAGACGAAAGAGGTAATGATTCTATTTGTTTACTTTTTTAACTTCTTTATAGCCCATCCGTTTAGTGCTTTTCATTATATATAGATGCATGGACTTCAACTTTTACTGGTGAAGGATTTTGCATACCGTATGAAGATGACTGACCGAGATATGAACTGGGGCACATTTAAGTCACTCCTAGCTGATGCGCTGATTGATCATCTGCAACCCATCCAGGTTTCAACATCTAAATATGATGCTTTTTCAATAGGTGATGTTTACAGGACAGTTAATATATGCGCTGGTTGGTTATGCCAATCGATCAAGAATTAAGTGCATATTTTATCCTTTGATACTGAAGAGATTATGCATGCTTACTTTTTTATGTAGTTTCTATGTTTCGGAGTTGTGATTGAGAATTTAGCCGCACTTTTAGTCATTTTGGTAAAAATTCATGAACAGCACTAGCTGTCAGACTTTTCCTAAGATTTTAGGTTGGAACTGCCATCATATCTGTTGAACCTTTGTTTATATGTGAATCATCCGTTCAGGTATATAGGTTTCTTTTTTCCCATGTCTTCATCACAGTTTTGCTGAGGTGATTGTTTTTAAGCTGTTAAATTGATTGTATTTGCTATGTACAACTGCACATTTATTTGAATGAATTGGTGGAGAATGTAGCTTTCTAAGTGATTTCTGGCAGTTGTTATGCTTCAAATCTGTGATTATATACCTATGATGTGTATATATTTTGATCTGCTTTTTGTGCACGCCTTTGTATTGTTCTCCCAAAGATATATTGATATTTTATGCCCCATCAATTCATTGATTCGCTCCACTCTTCAATTTATGGAGATGGCCTTTTTTCACTTGCCAGAAAGTGTACCATATTGTTCCATAATTCGTTGTGGTATTCCCTGTCATCATTGCATTTTCTGCTTTTGCAGGTTCGCTACGAGGAAATCATTTCTGACTCAGCTTATTTGGATGGAATTTTGGCGGAAGGTGCTATGAAAGCTGCAGGTATAGCTGATGCTACACTCAATAATGTCTACCAGGCAATGGGATTCTTGCAGAGATGAGCAGAACCGATGCTGCAGGGTAGAATTCATGTGAAAAGACCAGTAATACAGAAACTTTAAAGTTTACTTTGGATGATGGATCATCCGCCATAATTTTTCTTTTGGAGTATAACAACCATAAGCATATTCTTGATGAGTGAAAAGATATTTTAATGGGAAGGCCTCGAATCTTAGTTGTTGTAGTTGCCTCCATCCAAATAGGTGTTTTTTTTGGGTATAAGCAGATAGGTGTATTTTTCATTCGTTATTATTCAGTGAATTGGTAGTCTGCTATGTATTATTGTGTTACTAGTTAATAAATTATTGTTTGCTCTGTTGGTGCTTACAGTAGGATTTAATCTCTCTGAATCGTTGAAATTAAGGACTGCAGCTTCATTGTTGAAGTAGTCTGTATAATAATTTACGACGTGTTTGTCATCTCGTCACTGTTGCCTCTTGTTTCTTGAAATATTTGTAGCAATGTGATTATTAAGCAACTTTACTTGTAAAATTATGATCACATTGTTGAAGCAGTCTATAATAATTTACGACGCGTTTGTCATCTTGTCACTGTTGCCTCTTGTTTCTTGAAATATTGTAGTAATGTGATTATTAAGCAACGTTTCCTGTGATTTTGGAGATTTGATTTTAGGAAGGCCGTGTTTGGTTAGAAGCTTAAGCCCTACGTGACATGTAGGGTTTATCATGTGTGTGGATGGATTCTTATCAACACAGAACATAGTGATAGAAAGAGAGAATATAAATCCATCCAATGATTGGAAAGTGAAAAAAAACATAATCTCATATTCCCTTCCCCTTCGGTCCACCATGGCCTTGTTTTCTTTACAAAAGAGGAGCTGTGACCACGCATCTGCAAAATTACGGACAAAGACGGTGAGAGGTCAATGCCACTCTTAAAATCTCTCTCTCTCTCTCTCTCTCTCTCTCTCTCTCTCATGTGGCAAGAGAATAAAGGGTGCGTTTCCTCTCTGTTCTTCTTTCTTCCATTTCCTTTTAACATTTTTCTGAGAATTGCAGAGACAGAGAAAGACATGACAAGGACCACTGTGACACTGCTTTGCTATTCTGAAAGGTTTATATTCTCATCTCAATCATTATTTAGTATATACTACTCTAAGCATTATTGGTTATATATTATGGCTATATTCATTTATACTTTATCCCTATTTGTATACGTCAATAGAATAATAAAGATTTGATATTGAGTGCCTTGTAAAAGAAAGCTGGAGTTGATTCCCTTGAATCATTACTCAGTCATACTCATAATATTGAAATACAAACTAGTTTGTATTATCAGTAAGGCTAGGGTTGGGAGCCAGTAAACCATACATGGACCCAATCTAGTGTCACGGTTCGTATTGGTTTGATTTTGACCTCAAACTAGTTGCATAACCGAACCAAACCAATGTGTTTGGTTTGGTTTGATTCCGCATTTCGTTGCGTACAGCGTATGCTCGATGATTTGCTTGACCTACTCTTTTTGCTTCCTTTGAGTCCCAGTCCCAAGTCCCACCCAATGAAACAGAAAAAAAAATTCCATCCAAGCAAGAATGAGGATGAGAAGAGAGATGAGGGAGAGATGGAATCAGCACCTGGGAACTTTGGGAGTAGCTCTTGTTACGTGTGGAAGTGGGAGTATTTTTGTGAATTTCTGAGACGTTCATGTGGCGATCCCAATCCACATCGTTGAGAGAAAAAAAGATTCTAGGATTTGTTCCAATCCAAAGTTGCATTTACATGGCATGGGAAATCCTGCGAACATACAACAAAGCCAGCTCAGGCTGCATGTGTGCGTGTGCTCTCTACCGCCCATTGTCTGTGCGACACGCCTCCTCAATGGGACATATATAGCTGTATTTATCATCACATTTCCCCAATAAAAAGAAAAAAATATATATTATTTTAAAGATAATTTAGTTTGTGAATCATTGTTTTCTTTTTTTCTTGTTTTTTTGGGGAACAATTGTGTTCATGTCCATGAGATTCAAACTCAGGATCTTCATTAACAAAGTAGGGACTGAATGATACTAGATCAAACGAACAATTTAATAACTTCATTTCATTCATATACACAGGTGTAACCATTAGAGCTAACGAAAATGATAAAAATTCTAGTAATTTAAATGATAAAGGTTTAATTCACAATCCAATAACATTGAGAAGTTGTTATATAAGGGGCTTATAACTCAAGTGATTAAGAGCATTTACCCCTGCACCAAGGTCTTCGATTCCCCTTCTTCCAATATTGTTGGTTACAATGAGTTTGACTGGAAATTATTTATTTTAATTTTTATGGAAGTTATTTAAAAACAACTAAGGCATAAGTTGCCTTTACGTGATTTTCAATCTTAACGTATTTAGGGTGTTTAGGATTTTACTTAAATGGGGGCAAGATTATCGAACTTGCCAATGCAGTTTAGCTTTCTTTCCACAATTATGCGAGAAGGTTTCTTTTCTCCTAATCAGAGATTACATGTTAATTGAAATGAAGACATTAAATCATGCATATCTTCCAAAATCAAAACCAAAACCAAAACCAAAATTTTATATTTTTTTTTTAAAAAAAAAAACCAAGTTGGTCTAGCTGGATTACCCAGTGATTGTGGCCCTCCTCCTTTACCTATGCTTGGCACCCATGATCGAAATTCCAAGGTTTCTTTCTTCCCAATGTAACCGAAAAAAAAAAAAACCCAAAACCAAATTGGATAAAACAAGCAAAGATATTTTGCCTGACACGTAACCCCCCAACCCTACCCCTCCTTGATTTTTTTTGTGCCTTATTCAGTCTCTACCCAAATCCTATATACGTATATATAAGTTGGCTTGCCATGTTTGCTAAATATAAGCCATTGTTGAGTTCTCTCCTCTACCCTACTTCTGAAAGGAGATATTTCACTTTGGGGTTTTCGAATTCATTGTCGTTGCCTCTTTTTCACGTTAAGATTTTCCCAAGAGAATGGACAGAAACCAATTGCAACGCCAGGTTGCCCTCAAGAGAAGCTCTCTGTTTGAGCAGGTTTTTATAATTTGCTTCTCCTTTTTTTTCTTTTCTTTTTCCTGTTTCAGAACCATTCTGAGGCCATTAACATCTTGAAACTGCATGCCGTATGCTCTGCACGGATACTTTTCATGTTTTCACAAAATGTGGTTGGCTGACTTTGATATTTGCATTTCCACTCATAGGATTTATTTATTTATTATTTTTTAGAATACAAGCGACCGAGTTTCTCACACACACTATACTAAAGTGTCATAGGAGTTTGACACTTTTCTATTGAGTTAGACCTGTCGGTAGAATTTTCTATCTTTTTAAAGATTAAGAAATGGAATTAAACCAGCGGTGGTGTTGCAGAAAACAATCCGGGTTGGTATTGCTCTGTTTTAGTATACAGGTAGGGTTAGAAATGGGTCAGTAAAAACCAAGGCCCAAATTTTGTTTAATACAATACCGAGGCCCAAATTTAAATGTATAACATTAGCCACACGTTACCCATTTAGCCCATTTCAACGTTATGTTTTTGAAAAATATTAGAAACTAATAAAATTGGTGTAATAATTAAGCTGATGTATTTGGTATTTACTTTTTTTGAAATTGTGCAACTACTTCATCTTCTCAATGTGTTTGGTTCAAATGTTGCAGCAGTTCCTGGATTCACAGCAATTCGTACAGCTGGAGGATTTGGAAGACGATGCTAACCCAAATTTTGTGGAGGAAATTGTGACATTGTTCTACAAAGACTCAGCTAGACTGTTCCAAAAAATTGAACAAACCATGTAAGTAAAACAATAGTCTTAGTTATATATGTGTTGGCAGTCACTATTCATACTCCCAGTTTGTCGTCGTGCGCTATGTTTCTATTATCGATAATAAATATGACGAGTAATAAAATGAACTTCATTTGTATATTGATTTCTGCAGGCAGAGTAGATCTATTGATTTTGGCAAGCTGGATGATTACATGCACCAGTTCAAGGGTAGTAGCTCAAGGTACCCAAAGGAAAAAAAAAAACCCAATACTACTTGCTTTCATTTTAACATCAACTTGAGTAAATATATTGCTCCTCCAATGTGCTCATTAAAGCTAGATTTCTAACAGCATTGGAGCTATAAAGGTGAAGAATGAATGCTCCCAATTTAAGGAATTTTGTTCGGCAGGAAATGCTGAAGGGTAAGATATATATGTCATGTATAAACATGTACCAATCAATGTTGTAGTTCTTTCTCTCCTTGATGCGACCTCATTATGAATTTATGTTTGATTTTGCAGCTGCTTCTGGGCTTTCCAGAGAGTGAAACAAGAGCACCACACCTTGAGGATCCAACTTGAATCTTACTTTCAGGTAACTAACTAGCAGATGCATTTGTTCTTTAATTTTTTTTTCCTTTGCGCGAAAAAAATTATGTCGGTTTCTTATGTGCCTTGTATATCTGCAATCTGTATAGTTGAGGAAACAAGCAGGACTGGTACGACGTGTCTGAGTGGCAACAGATTGCCTGAGGTGCCAAGTTGATAGCATGGAGAAAGAACTATCAGCGGCAGCACCATTTTGCCATTTTGTGGGCTCCTAGGGTTATAGAGGGCACCATTAAAATATGTATTAAAATATCAAGTTAAGCAGAAGGAATATTATGCAGTTTTTTAATTTTGGTTGGGGCCATAGAAGTTATGTTCCAAAAAAATCTGAATCTTAGTGTACCAATAATGCAGATGCTACACTTCTGAATTATATTAATAATACATCTATTTATGTTGGCCTCTTTTGTTTGTTTTTTCAATGTCAGTCATTATAAAAAGGCAAAATATTCCAGGCCTTCTATTTATCACAATCACCATGATAGAGAATTTGGTGCATATCATGAATCAAAAAGAACAAGAAATAGGATGAAATGACATGCCCCAAAATCTGTAAGGCAATCAGTAACCCAAGAGCGTGTTTTGGTTTTTGTATTTGGTTGGTTTGTTTAGAGCGCAGAAAAACTTGTAATGATAACAACAATCAAAGAAGTGAAGAATAATGAAGGGGAACAAGAGAGAGAGGTAGGAAAGCAAAAAGGGTATAAAGTGAAGTTGGGATTTATCAGGATTTGATTGACTGATTGAGGGCAGTGATGATCAATCTCTTATATTAGTGGGATGTGGGGGCCCACCACTAGCCACTAGAGATGGCAATTGCAAAAGGGTGGCCTTGCCAATGATGATCATCATGACTTGCCTTATGTTCAATTCTATATTCATTGAACATGATATTGAACATTTCATGGTCAGTTGCTTCTTTTTAAAAAAGAAAAGCGCATTGTTTTACAAATCAGTG